TCCTGTCATTATTTTCTCAGCCTATTGAAGAGAATAGGAGGTACACATATATTCAATTATCGATTGCTTATCAAAAATGGTTTCCTAATATTATATGTAATTATTCTAGATTTTGTTTATTTTTTTTGAGACAGAGTATCACTCTGTTGCCTGGACTAGAGTTGCAGTGATCTCGGCTCACTGCAACCTCCACTTCCCAGGTTCAAGGGATCCTCCTACCTCAGCCTCCCAAGGAGCTGGGATTACAAGCCCGAGCCACCATGCCCAGCTAATTTTTGTATTTTTAGTAGAGATGGGGTTTCACCATGTTGGCCAGGTTGGTCTCAAACTCTTGACCTCATGATCCACCTGCCTCGATCTCCCAAAGTGCTGAAATTACAGGTGTGATCCACCACACCCAGCCTTATTCCAGATTTTTTCAAGTAGAAAAGAGACCCAGTAAGAGATGCAAATTAGAGCCGGGCTTGGTGGCTTCTGCCTGTAATCGTAGCACTTCAGGAGGCTGAGGTGGGCGGATCACCTGAGCTCAGAAGTAGAGACTAGACTGGACAACACGGTAAAACCCCCTCTCTACAAAAAAATCCTTTGAACCTGGGAAGTCAAGGGTACAGTGAGCCAAGACCACACGACTGCACTCCAACCAAGGTAACAAAGTGAGATCCTGTATCAAAAAAAAAAAAAAAAAAAGACTCAAGTCAGTATTTTTGCTATTTGCTAACAATAAAAACTCTAATGAGAGCATACACTCATAAAAGGAATTTTAAAAACTACAAAATGCCCAATAACACAATATCCTCACATAAATTACCCTGAATTAATACTGTAAAAATTGGACAACTCATATTCTGGAAAAAGAGTCTTCACAAATTACCCTGTATGTTTTATGCAACTTCCAAAGTCCCAAAGAAAGCAATACAAAAATAGTTCTGAGAAAGGGTTAGAAAGGACTGACTTACTTTCTTGCATCATGAAACAAAAAATGCTTTGATGAATGAAATGGGTAGCTGCTGCTGCTGCTGCTTTTTTTTTTTAGACAAGTCTCATGCTGGAGTGCAGTGGCATAACCTTGGCTCACTGCAACCTCCACCTCTTGGGTTGAAGGATTCTTCTGCCCCAGTCTCCCGAGTAGCTGGGACTACAGGATCCTGCCACCATGCCCAGCTAATTTTAGTAGAGACAAGATTTCACTATATTGGTAAAAGGGTAGTTCCTAAAAATAAAAACGTGTACAAGAAAATTTAAAATTCTCCTATTAGTCTCTGGAATGATGAAACGACTTCCACTATTTTAGGTTGAGAAAGAAAGCTAAAGGCAAAAGAGCAATAGACAAAAATTTAAACAATTTACAGTTTGTATCTTAGCCAAGTCTGACTACAATATTTTTACCAAAGGATAAATATCTCTGCTTCAAAGAATCATAAAAGCATTACTTTTAAAAACATTACAAGATCCTGACACAGTGGCTCATGTCTGTAATCACAGCACTTTGGGAGGCCAAGGCAGGAGGACTGCTTGAGCCCAGGAGTTTGAGACCAGCCAGTGCAACATAGCAAAATCCCGTTTCTACAAAATTTTTTTTAATAAGCTAGGCATGAGGGCACACTCCTGGCTTATTAAAAAAAAATTTTTAAAAGGTCCCAGCTACTTGGGAGAACCACTTGAGCCCTGGAGGTTCAAGATGTAATGAGCTATGACTGTGCCACTGCACTCTAACCTGGGCAACAGAGCAAAACTGTATGAAAAACAAAACAATTGTTTCCCATGATCTATGTGAAAAGGAAAAAAGAAAAAAAATTACAACATAAGAGAATGTTCAACTTCACTAATACTTTCCCAATGAAAATTTAAGTAAAGATAGTGTTTTTTATCCATCAGTTCAGCAATTTTTTTTGGGGGGGGGGGGGGGGATCTCGCTCTGTTGCCCAGGATGGAGTGCAGTGGCACGGTCTCGGCTCACTGCGACTTCTGCCTCTCGAGTTCAAGCGGTTCTCCTGCGTCAGCCTCCCAAGTAGTTGGGATTACAGGTGCCTGCCATCACACACAGCTAATTTTTTGCATTTTCAGTAGAGCCAGCGTTTCACCATGTTGGCCAGGCTGGTCTTGAACTCTTAGACCTCATGATCCGCCTGCCTCAGCCTTCCAAAGGGCTGGGATTACAGGCCTGGCACAAATATTTCTAAAGGGTCATTCTCTATGTTAATCGGAGAGTGGTTAAACAAAAAAACCTGTTACACTGCTGGTATGACTACAACTGGGAACCTTTTGAAAAGCAACCTAACAAGATACATCTGTAGTCTTCTGAATTGTTCACTTTTTTTATTCTTAGATTCATAAAATATAAATACAAAAAGCAAAGCCTATGTGCACAAACAGCAAGCATCAGAAACGTCCATGAAAAGAATAGCACTAGTATATAGGAAAAGAATTTATTTTTCATACTGTGTTCAATCCAATAAATTTCCAAATATGTAGTTGCTAAAAATCAAACTCCTTAAGTATACTGTAAAGACATATATATGCACACAGCTAAAATACACCCAAACTAAGAAGTTCTCAAAGGCCTTAAGATACACTAAAAATATAACACCTCCCAGTGAAATAAAAGAAAAAGCAGAAGTCAGGTGAGAATATTTACATATATGTGCTCATACAGCAGTTGTGTAGAAGTCATTATCTTCCTGGTGGAAGAGATGAGAAAACTTGAGGTCCAGACTGACTAATTGATATCCCAGGACCACAGAGCTAGTAAAATTATGGGGCTAGAACTTGGAAGTCCGATTCCAAATCACATGCTTCCTATACTATCCCAAACAAAGGGAATATTTTCTGTAGTGGCACTAAAACAGACCAAGTAACATTAAAGGTAAAACACTTCAGTTTCACATGTCTGTGGCTCTTTGTTTTTTACAAGGAGTTTTTATTACTTTGTCATTGGGGGAAAAAAACAATTTTAATTAGGGCAAGGAAGGATATAATTATACTACTATCGTTTTGAAGGAAGGAAAGGTATACCTTCTAAGTTCTGTGTACTTTCAAAATTCCCACTACTTGTGAGGCCAGGTGCAAACTGCACGCTTCTAGACTTCCTATCGTATGCCAAAACGCTAAGGATAATCAAGAAATGTTTGTTGAATGAACAAACGCTAATTTAAAATAAAAAAGAAATTCCATTTCCTCCTCAGTACAAGAGGCCTGTAATAACAAACTTCTGAAATACCAGTAGGCAACTAATTGCATATTCAAATTTAAACCACAGAAAGTTGAACCAACTCTGCCAATTCCTGGGACTCTCTAAATGAACTCTTAATACAAAAATACATACTCAGACTCAGCATTTTTCCTAATCATTTACAAAAATAAAAGGACATAAGGACAAGTTCTGGTGAAATTTTATAAACAGCCATGAATTGCAGGTGTAGACTGCCAGGTACATAACCTATATATATATGACAATTTGCCCATAGGGGGTACCATACGAAATTAGAGACATTCCCCTCCAACAAAAAGATTATACCCATAGGATACTACACAATAAAAAAATAAATCTCAAAAATGGAATGGGATTAAGATCCTTTAGAATAGGCTACTGGTGATGATTTTGCTTTTACAGCTCCCTCCTCACAAAGGAATGATAATGACACTGCCCTTAGCTTTCTATGTGCAAAGAGAGAGTATTAACCTTTACAAGCCAAATTTATGACTACACCTTTTCCACACAAAATGGAAAGCACTTCTAACTCCCCAGATTACCTCACATTAGTTGGATGCCACACAATAGATGATAAAGTATCAAGGTAAATATTAATTTTTAAAAGTTTACCAGAAGTTGGATATTCTAAATTGGGTTTCTGATTCTTGACAGTGAGAATGAAGTCAAGCTCCCTATTTGGTGGTAAGAGGAGAGAATCTAGCCACAAATAGTTCTTTCAGGATTGACAGACAAGTACTACATAATTTCTATCATCTCATACAAAAACTTGCTTCTGATATTCTGCCCACTCAACACAGTGAAAAGCCATGGAGACTGCTTTTGCATGAAAGCAAAGAACTTTTCTAATATGACTTTAGAGCATGCCATGCTTTTAAGCCCATGTTCAACCACTTATTGTCATTTTCCAACCACCTTCCCTATGGGCCCATCCCATATTTCAACTACAGATATCACTGCTTGGCCCTATTTCCTAAGATTCTTAGGAAAACAAATCTACTGATTTATGCAATCAACTTTCAAGCTCTACTTAACCAATCTGATAATTTAGTATCTGAAGATTATTCTAAATTCCCTAAACCTTCTTCATCAAGAATTTTGGGGAAGAAAGAGCTAACTAGAAAAGCTATCTTCCTGAAAAGCACTGTTGTGCTAAACAGAAATACGGCCTCTTCTCAGGAGCTAAGCAGCTACTTGGGTCTACATTTTCATGAACTAAATAGTTTTATAAGATTATTTTTAAGAACAACAACAAAAAAAAAAACCCAAAAATTGTCAAGCTAAAACAGCTTACAAAACCCCATCTGTTATGAACCAGAAAATCAAACAACAAAACTCACCTAAAAACAACATAAGCTCTAAGAAATGCGCACGGAGGTGGCTCCACCCATATTAGCTTTTCCTTGTTGTTTTGTTTTGTTTTTGAGACAAAGTGACTCTGTCACCCAGGATGGAGTACAGTGGCGCAATCCTGGTTCAGTGCAACCTCCACCTTCCGAGATCAAGGGATTCTCCTGCCTCAGCCTCCCGAGTAGCTGGGACTACAAGTACCCACCACCACACTTGGCTACTTTTTGTATTTTTAGTAGAGACAGGGTTTCACCATGTTGGCCAGGCTGGTCTCAAACTCCTGACCTCAAGTGATCCTCCCATCTTGGCCCCCCGCCAAAGTGCTAGGATTACAGGCGTGAGCCAGCCCATAGTAGCTTTTCTAAAGCCTCTTTTCTCATTCTTTGTTCTCTACTCTAACAGGTGAAGACATGTCCTAAAGAGACAATCAGTATACCTCCACATAACCCCTCAGTAAGCACTCAGTTGAGGCTAGACTGTGAAAAGCACTAAAATAAATACATCATTAATCTATAACCTTCTGAGAATACAACCATCTCATATTTGAATGGACATCTAGTTGTCACGAACACTTTCACGCACTCATTTGATCCCCTTTAAAAACCACAGGAAACAGGGCAAGCCATGTTATCAGCTCTATTTACAGAGAGAGGAATCAATTTTAAAAGGTTACATAGCTTAATCAAGGTCACAAAGTGACTAACTAGCCAAGCTGGTACCCAGTCTTATGACAGTCCAGGGCTCTTTCCTCTGTACTGATCCTAAAATGAAAAATATTTATTTTAGACTGCTCCTGCAGGATAGGGCTACCCCACAGGCACAGGGTAGCTGAAAAATTCTGTATCTCTCTATCACAAGAAGTTGACAGGTCTAAAAGGTTTCACATTTAGATGCTTCTTTTTTTTGAAAAAGGTGAAGATCTGGCTGGGCACAGTGGAGCACGTCCTCAGGAGGCTGAGGCAGGAGAACCGCCTGAGCCTAGCCTGAGCAACACAGTGAGACTTCCTCTCTAAAAATAAATACATAAAAATCATATAAAAAATAAAAAGTTTTAAAAGGGGTAAAGGTCCAATGAATTAACTAAGAAATGTTTTGTTTCAAGAATGATCTTGAAAAGTTACAGTACTTGCATGCAATATATGATCTGATTTAAAAAGTGAGTATGCTTAAAATAGAAGAGTAAGATCAACGAGTATCTGTATTTCGTATTAGTGGTTTAAAATTTCTGAATATGCTGCAAAGAGAAGGAGGTAAAAACCTCAACTGAACTGGGCGCAGTGGCTCATGCCTGTATCTCAACTCTTTGGAAAGCCAAAGTGGGCAGATCACTTAAGTTCAGAAGTTCAAGACCAGTGTGGGCAACAGGACAAGACATTGTCTCTACAAAAAATACAAAAATTAGCCAGGTATGGTAACGCAGACCTGTAGTTCCAGCTAATTGAGAGGCTGAGAAGAAGAATTGCTTTAGACCAGGAGGCAGAGGCTGTAGGTAGTAGAGATCACACCACTAACTCCTCTACCCTAGACAAGAGAGAGAGAGAGAGAGAGAGAGAGAGAGAGAGAGACGCGCCTTGGTAGCTGTGGAACTTGTGTAATTACTTGCTCTAGGACTTGGTTTTCCAATGGTAAAAACAGAGGAGGTAGGGACACAAACAACTTGCTTCATAGAAAAGTTACAAGGCTTTAAAGGGGATGGTTTATAAAACGTGAGTAGCACGTAGTTTTGACACACAGTAAGCAATAAATAGCTACTATGGTGGAAATTTTCTTTATTTCTATTTAACACTTGTGACATTAGCAAATAGGGTACCAAACAGACAAGCTTTTTACATCGTTACATGATTCTTCTCTTTCTCAACAACTGCTCTCCCAAAAGAAAGAAGTTTTTAAAAATGAGGGCCACTCCCATTATTTGAAGATAACTGGGAGAGGAGGAACATAAATCAGTTGTGTCATATTTTAAGGATTAGAATTTAAACATTAAAAGGAATTCTAGGTCAGGTGCAGTGACTCACACCTGTAATCCCAACACTTTGGGAGGCCAAGGCAGGTGGATCACAAGGTCAGGAGCTCAAGACCATCCTGGCCAACATGGTGAAACTCTGTCTCTACTAAAATACAAAAAATTATTCCCAGCTACTAAGGAAACTGAGGCAGGGGGATCACTTGAACTCGGGAGGTGGAGGTTGCAGTGAGCCAAGATCGCACCACTACACTCCAGCCTGGGTAACACAGTGAGACTCTGTCTCAAGAAAAAAAAAAAAAATTAATATTTTCACATAGATAACTATCACCTGATTAAACTATGGCAAAAAAAAAAAAAAAAAAAAAAAAAAATCACAGACCGACCCTAACCATTAACAAGGGTAAAGTAACTTACTGTTTATCAAAAACAGGAAACGTTCCTATCTCAAAGAGCGCTGAACCAATTATTTAACATAACGTCTTTTTTAAGAGTTCACACACTGAATGGCTTAACATTTAAAAGCCTCTTCTACCCAAATCACCATCCTCCTTCACTTACCCTTTTTCTTAAGACAGTCTCGCTCTGTGATTTCTAAGTCACTTTCCTTACCAAAAAAATTGAACTCAACATTCCTTAGCCTGATACTCAAAGGCTTCCTCCACGTATACTCGTCATCATCCTTGGTCATTTCCTTTCTCCCACACTAGATTCCAAATTGTATTCCATTATTGTGGCTCCTTATACAGGTCTAATTCCAAACCTTTCCTCAATTTGTGTACAGAATGTCTTTCCTTCTTTCTCTCTAAACACCTACATCTCCCTTGCTTCCCACACTACCATCTAGAACTAAATTCCACCTATCCTCTAAGAAGCCTCCCCTTTACCGAGAAATTATTCTTCGGCAGAACTTTGTGAAAATGATTGTTTTGCATCTTTTACCACAGTGAATTATGTATCATCTTAGATCCCCTAAGCCTGTGGGCAGAATTTACTTACAAGTCATCTCTGTATTTCCCACAGTACTTTAGACTCAAGAGATTAAAAAAACAGGTATTATTGTTTCAAAGAAAATATTCCTACAATTGAAATCCTTTACATAACACTGTTAATAAGCCCAAGACACACCTATTTTGTATTAAAATGTTACCTAAAGACTAATGACACTGGCTCAACAAATTAAGCCTTCAAAAATTAGTCCCCATCTTATTACCTAGAGGGCAGCATGGCAAAGTGGGAAAAGCAAAAAAGACTAGACTGAAATCCTGATTCTGCCATTGTTGTTAAATATCTGCTTCCTTCCTTATCTTGTGAAATAGATGTAACCACTGCCTACCTGGGAAAACTAGAAATAACTACTAGCACATAATACGCAACAGTAAATTATTTGCATTATGACTTTTATAAATAGAAATTTAAGACCAGCTAAATTAGGCCGGGCATGGTGGCTCACGCCTGTAATCCTAGCACTTTGGGAGGCTGAGACGGGTGGATTTCCTGAGCTCAGGAGTTTGAGACCAGCCTGGGGAACACAGTGAAACATCTCTACTAAAGACAAAAATTAGCCTGGCATGGCAACGTGTGCCTGTAATCGCAGCTACTCGGGAGGCTGAGACAGAAGAATCATCTGAACCCGGGAGGCAGGGGTTGCAGCGAGCTGAGATTGCACCATTGCACTCCAACCCGGGCAATACAGTTGAGACTCTGTCTCAATAAAAAAGAACAGCTAAGTTAACTGCAAGATCCCTATTCTGAAAAAAAAAAAAAAAAAGTTTTGAGCATCTTCTGTGTTCAGTATTATAAGACATGAATGGTTCCCTAACATAGGTAAGTCCAGTCAACTGTAGATCCTCACAGAGAAGTAACACAACATACTGAGTGCTAACCTTGTAGCTATTTCTAAAAAGATGCAAGTCTAGGGCCGGGCGCGGTGGCTCAAGCCTGTAATCCCAGCACTTTGGGAGGCCGAGGCGGGTGGATCATGAGGTCAAGAGATCGAGACCATCCTGGTCAACATGGTGAAACCCCGTCTCTACTAAAAATACAAAAATTCAGCTGGGCATGGTGGCGTGTGCCTGTAATCCCAGCTACTCAGGAGGCTGAGGCAGGAGAGTTGCCTGAACCCAGGAGGCGGAGGTTGCGGTGAGCCGAGATCGCGCCATTGCACTCCAGCCTGGGTAACAAGAGCGAAACTCCGTCTCAAAAAAAAAAAAAAGATGCAAGTCTAAGGTTATTTCTAAATTATTTTAAGCTTTAAGTTAAATATTTAAAAGTGAGTTATAATTAAATTTCTACCAAATTAAAATAAATACATCAAGGCTTACAACAGCCTACAGGGCTTCCTGATCTCATCTCCTACCACTCATTCCATACCTGGATCACCATGCACGCTCCTGCCACCCTGGTCTTCCTGATAAAAATCCAATACACCGGGTTCATTCCCATCTTAAGGCCTTTACAATTAAGTGTTCTCTACACCTTGTTCTTCCTCAACATCTTCACAGGTCTTGCTCACTCACTTCATATAGATCTCGTTCAAACTGTCACCTCCTCAGAGAGGCTTTCCCTGACCACCCTATTTAATATAACCACCTCTCTCCCACAACCACCGCCTTCAATCTCCTTAGGCTCTTTCCTTTTTACATCACTTTAGGGCACTTGTTAACTAGCCTTCCATCATTACTTACTTGTTATCTGTCTTTCCTATTAGGATAAAACTCTACGAAAACAGTAATTTCTTATTGGCTGCTGTACTCCTTGTAACTAAAGTCATGCCTGGAACACTCTGAGTGCTTGATACATATTAATTTTTAAATTGATAAATGACATATTTGTGAGTAACCAGGAATATTCATCACTGCAACTTACATAATTTCTTAAACTCAATTGCTTCCAATTATAGCTAGCATGTCAAGGCTACTTCTAGAACAGAGGTTCTTAATTTGGGGCTTTAGGAGGTCATTATACCCATATTTCTGGAAGGAAAGTCCTACAGCTTTTCTTTAAATGGTTCCTAATCTCAAAAATATCCTAGCCCAGTGATTTATGACTTTGGCTACACCATGGAATCCCCTGGTGAATTTTAAAAATACAAACAGTTGCTTGGGTCCCATCCCAGATGGTATATTTTTTCTCATCTGTGGTACAACCACAGGATTTTTTAAAAAGTACCTGGGTGATTCTAGTGTATAGCAAAACTTGAGAACCATGCAATCTGAATACCACAAATGTTAACTGGGTGAGATTCCTCAAAGATACTTATACAGAGAAGAAAACAAAAATTGAAAACTACGAATTCTGAGGGAATTAGCATTGCTGACAAACAGATCAATATACAAGTTCATCAAAGTATCACAAAAAACATTTTAAACAAAAACTAGTAGCTCTACCTGCACTTACCTACTAATCTGACATTGAGATTTTAGAGCTAACTCCCAGAACACAAATAACATCTTTCACTTAAAACACGTATTTCAGACAAACATTCACTTCTTAATAACTTACTCATAAAAACTTAAAACTATCAAGAAAGTAACAGAATACTTTTAGAAGACGAATCAAGAGCTGTATTACAATTATGAAGCTCTTTGTAGTTTTATTGCTAAAAATGCCTTTGAAGCAGCGTATTTCCCCCAATTAATGTCCTCATTTTGCCTCAACTGTTCTACAGGATGACAGGCACTGAATTTAGGTGAAACTAATACTAAGAAAACAGACACAAAGGAGAGAGGAAGAGGGAGGGGGAATTTCAGAGATTTATTTAGATCATGCCAAAGGGTCTGAAAAGAGCAGGTGTCAGACTGACCCAGGTGATAAACTGTTTTCTTTTTGAAGTCCAACAAGCAAACACCAAGTAATAAGCCAATTCGCTGATACCAACGTAGATTTTCATAAGTTACTGATTTTTATACCTTCACCCAAGTAGCCCTTTTAAAAAAGTGATTAGCAAGACAGAAAGCAAAACAACAAAATGGCAAGTATTTGTAAAATAAATAAATCCAGATGCTTAAATTCATAGTGATAATTTTAAATTACCTGAATACTTAAAATCACTATGGAACTCATTCCATCTAACCCTTTCTTTATTGTTGGCCGTATGGAGGTATCTGCTGACACAGAAACACCAGGTCATGAGCACATCTGACATAAAACATTACAAGCTTAAAGCAATATTCTTTAAAATCTAAAGGGCTTGGGGAAGAAAGCCAAACTCCTAACTATGAAGCCTCTGTGGCCTGACTTCCTGGTCATATTGTAAGCATATTTTATCTTATTATTCAGTTCCCTTGTCAAGTTAGTTTAGTGAAAAAGTGCAAAACAAATACATACAGGTACACAGCTCATCAACACATTTTAGTTTTGGGGAGAGATCAGGCTTAGAAGACACAAATAATTATAAAACTAGTAGAGTTGAAAAAGCCCGGCTGGGCACAGTGGCTCACATCTGTAACCCCAACACTTTGGGAAGTCAAGCCAGGTGGATCACCTGAGGTCAGAAGTTCGAGACCACTCTGGCCAACATGGAGAAACCCCATCTCTACTAAAAATACAAAAATTAGCTGGGTATGATGACCAGTGCTTATAATCCCAGCTACTCTGGAGGCTGAGGCAGGAGAATTGCTTGAACCTGGGAGGCAGAGGCTGCAGTGAGCCAAGAGCACGCCATTGTACTTCCAGCCTGGGCAAAAAGAGCAAAACTCCATCTCAAAAAAATAAAATAAAATAAAATGTTAAGTGAAATAACTATACAAAGGCATTCCTGGCATTCAGAAAAGTTGATGGTAGCATCCTTTCCTCCTCTAATCCAGTGGTTCTCAGCCTTGGTGTTTTTTTTGTTTTTGTTTTTTGAGACAGCATCTCGCTCTGTCACCCAGGCTGGAGTGCAGTGGCACCTCTACCTCCCAGGTTCAAGCAATTATCCTGCATCAGCTTCCCAAGTAACTTGGAGTACAGGCATGTTCGACCACGTCCAGTGAATTTTTTTAATTTTTAACAGAGACAGGATTTCACCTTGTTGGCCAGGCTGGTCTCAAACTTCTGGCCTCAAGTGATCCGCCCACCTCGGCCTCCCAGAATGCTGCCATAATAGGTGTGAGCCACTGCTCCCTGCCTTAGGTATTATTTTGACCTT